CCCATGTTTGTTATGTATGTTTTGAATTATTAACACCTACTATATACTTCTGCACCTCTCTGGCGGTTTTCTTGTGTCTTCTTCTCTTTTCAAAGGTACTGCCTTAGACGAAGGCACTGAAGCAGTGCCGCTATCCTCAACTAATTCGGAATATTACTAGCCCACCTGGTGAATAACGGAACCACCTCTATCATGAAATCTGCTGACAAGTTCAAAGTTGCTCTCATATACAACTGGAAATGTCAAAATTATGGTGTCCTTACCGGTGAATTTGAAGTTTTATGGACTTTCAAACACTCTATGAATCATTTACTTACAATTACTGTTCATTCCGCATCTCTTATATTTCACGTCAGCACCTGTACAAAAATGCTACTTACGTTCCACAATTAACGTAATCGTTTATAATTCCTGCGTGAAATTGACATACCGTATTTTTTTCAATTACAGTTTTGATTTGATGCTATATCTCATGAATTATTCAGTTGAAAGCATATCTCGAAAATTACCTATTGCCTTATTTGTACATTTCTTTTTAAATATTTCTCTCAAATTTACCAGTATTCAATCTATTTCTAGATTAACAGATCATATATATTCTATAAGTTCTAATTAGTGTACATATGTTCATGCCTGTAAAAATGGCTGGTTTCTGTTCCAGAAAATAAAATATTATTATTAGTTATTAGTTAGTGGATGCCCAAGATTCTGAATCCACTTCTGAGCGTCGTAAATCGAAAAATGGAGGGGAGACGATCCAAAGAAAGGCAGGTGATCCATACGATTACTGGCAACAGCCCAGCAATATAAAAAACTTGTGGTTAGCCTTAGATTACCGATGGAACCACCGGAAGTGACAGACAAGTTTCTAAAGCAGGCAGCAGAATTAAGGAAGACAGATCTACAGGGCTATTCTGATGTTATCACTGACGGCTCACGGCACAACTTGAGGAATGCAACCCGGACCAAATCACCCCACAAGCAACTACGTGACGTTTATTTCCTTCTCAGATATGGGGCTTCTGCGAACATATGCATGGACGGCTGCTTATTCTGTGACGAGGATATAAATTCAACCAAAGAATTCTTGACTGATAGAAGATATATCCTTAGTATCATACCAAAAACAAAAGACAAGTTGGGATCATGAAAGTCTTGCGAGAAGAAGCGAATTGTCGATAAAACCTTTATCCAGACTTTTGAGCGGACGCTCGACCTCGGATTTAAGCATCAGCTTCCATGAATTTTCACTATTACTAACCTAGAACTAGCAATTCTTAGCACAAACTTCTTAGGAACGTATGACTTGCTAGCAGATAAAAGGAAGAGATGACTGACAATGAAGGAAACATCGCTCATACGAATCGCAGGACAGAAAACCCGCATTGACCAAGCATAGTTCAATCTCCACCAGTGTTCGCAGAAAGTTTCATGGAAATACTGGCGGAATTTCAAACTCTAGCGGCTACCAAACCCTTAGGTCTCCAAGGTTGGTCAAGAAATTACATATACCATAAACACACATGACTTTCCCAGTTTCCGCTAAGCCAAGAAGGTTACCCCCGGACAAACCAGAAGTGTCAAAGCGGAATTCTAAAAGTTGCTCAATTCGGGGATTATTCAGCCCTCTAATAGTAAGTCGGCCTTATCTCTGTACATGGTGCTTAGGAAAACTCAAACTGATTGGCATCCTTGTGGTGTTTGCAAAGCCCTATACAATCGAACCGTTCTCGACAAGCACCTAGTACCCCATATTCAGGACTTTCCTAATAGCCTTCGCGTCGTCACAATATTTACTGAAACAGATATAGCTCACGCTATTCACAGTGTTCTGTTAGCTGAGAGGTAAATACCTAAGGTGGGAATAGGTCTTCAGCTGCTGCACATACTATTCAAATATTCATGGGTCACTGTTTGCTCAAAATGCGCTATTCCAAGACGTTTTCAGGCGAATTATTCATTGCTAGCCCATATATTAACATACATAAGGGCCAAATTCGATGAGTGATGATAAAAATTATAGACAAAGTCAGAGAAATCAGTCAGAAGGTGCAAGGGATTAAGGAAGTTCATCCATCCAATTTGGTCTCAACCATATTACTTTCAACGCTCAACTTGCTTATCTGTGCTGGGTGGATTAGATTGTGGACAGTTAAGAAAGAGAAACACAGCTGTGTATCATGGTATGATTGCAATTTGCTGTACTGTCTCCATAGCATCGTTAATAAATATATCTCTGAACTGTCGTTAAGGTTATATCTCCCTTTTTCTAGTTGGCGTGATGTTAAGAGCCGACTGGCGAAAAAGTCAGCAGGTAGTGTGATCAAAGCTCACATATAGCTGAATAGATGGCCACAAAACAATCATGAGTGCTTCTGTTAGTTGAGGCCATAGGAAACCAACTCGAAGTAGTTCAGCCGTGTAACTAAACTGTTTTGCGTAAATGCAGTTTCGGAACCGAAGTAATCGTTCCTAGGACACACTGGCGGTAGGAATGTGACTGTTCCAATGACCGAAATTGGGGATGCCATACACTACTTTCTCTGCTGGCTTAGCTCTAGACTTTCTCATAGTTGGTTGGCTTCTAAATGCGAACAAAGAATGCAGCCCTTGATTGATGAGACTTGGGGAAATCGTACAGACTTTTGGTTATCAAAAGAGGCAGCTGATGCAGTTGCAAAACCTAAGAAGGCCACAACCTTAAAATATCCTGTTACAGATGCACTTCTCGCACTAATTATAGACGTATCTGATAATGCTATAGGGGCAGCACTAAACCCAGTAGTCGACAATGGGCAGGAACCGATCTTATTCTTTTGTAAACGGCTTAATTCTGTAGAAATACATAATTCTTCCCCTTGGAGAGAGTTGCTGGTAAAGCACTTAATATTTAAACACCCTATTCACTTGGCGGAAGATTCATGATCTTCACTTTTCATAAGCGTCTTGTCAGATAGAAAAAAGACAGATAAAGCGCCAAACGCATTACGTAAAAATGATGGGCTCACCGTAACTGAGCCAATCGCTAAAATCGTAGAGAAAATGGTAACAGGAGATTCTTTCTCCAATGCTGGGCAGACATGTTACGAGTGCCTAGGACAATAAATGCTGAGCGATCCGGTAACTTGTCGAGGTTCCTATGACCAAATATAAGCTGCCATAGTACTGGCACAAAATCTCTTACTGCTAATCTTTAAGCAACCTTAGGCATAGGTCTGCTGAAATTTTCACTCTAGACTACGATTCTATGCATTTTAATAAAAGATTTACAGACTGTTCACACGGAACCCAATAAAAAAATCAAACTTGAAAGCCATATCCATTCACTGACTTTGTATTTGATGGATATTATATCTTCTACTCTGCAACTCCCATCAGATTTCGGAATGGGAGGAAGTTTATCAATACCCAAGATGCTAAAGCCGGCTTCAATTAACTACTAAGGTCTTTATCTTCCTTACGCAACCTAAGCATATTGCGTACTTCTTCAAGCAGTTCTCATGTTGCGTGCACCTAATATAATGCATAAATTTTTTAAGGCATGTAATTTCCTTTTCACTTTCCCTGGTTTTGGTTGGCTTTTCTCAGAGTGTGAAGAAATGTAAGGCCAAACGAAAGCAACACATCAGGCCATCGGTTGAAAAAGGCCTGTTAGTTGCTTTTTGAGTAAACAGTTTCTGTTTGAAGCTTCTGCTGACGGTGGAGTAATCGGGGCTACTGGTGAACCATTCAAAAGGCGGTAAACTAGAAGCGTACACAAGTAGGAGCGAATAAGATTTTTGGCTAACAGATGAGTGATACTTCTTGGGATATCACCAGAGAGTCTTTAACGACCTGAAAGAGAGATCGGGCCCGTTAAGACAACTTATGTCTTGGTACTCTAGTGTGGTGAGAGCTGTCTGCTAGCCAAAATTGGTAGACAGCAATTTACGTCGTTATTTACGTTCCAAATCTTGGTCATCAGGAAAAAACAAGAACATAGCCTAACCTTGAGGAACTTAACAACCAATCACAGAAGACTTTGTGTGGAGGGATATGATTCGTAGTAATATCAGCAGACTGCCTAAGTTACGGCAACAAAGAGATGACAAAATAACCTATAGTAGGAGAACAACCGTTCAGAAGACGTTACCTCTCTGCTAACAATAACGAATAATAATGTTCATAAAAATCTATAAATATCTGTTGATTTTTTCTCAATAAAGGATCTTTTTCCTGGTCCTTGTCTTCTGTCGTTACACTAGTAGTATACCCCTTAGTCAGCGGGTTTAAGTGAGCAGAGACCCTGTTTCAACAACTTTTCGCCATATGGTTTATTTTGAAGGTCCACAACCCGCTTCACTTATTCTGTTTCAGCCTTTCCAAGTGTTTGGAGTCTTTCTCAAGCAACAGATATGCAAATGTAACTCAGGCTTTGCATAAAATAATCTCTGGTGTGAGCCCGCACTTAGTGTATATATCCCGTAGAAATCGCCAGGTCGGGTCATACTTGTGTCGCCCTTTCAGATGTCACAATGTGCAGCTGGAGTATTTTATGCCTTTTAGAGTTAAAAGACCTTCCGTTGACTTGGGCCTAGTTTTCCAAGCCTTAAACGACTATTAATTTGCAGATCATCGGAGAATAAATCGAACGCGCATTCTAGATGGCATAGTAGGTCAACAATGAATATAAAAATCATCAAGGCTTCTGGAATACAACGTGAAATTTAGGAGTCTAAGCTGTGCCAAGATGAACAAATTTGAGAAAAATTCCGATCAGTTAAGATAACCTATGAGCTACGGGAAAGCAGACGACCAGTGCTGTATACTCTGTTCAGTAAAAGGAGAATAGTGTGTCAGTTTGCTTCACAAATGGACTGGGATATTCATGTCCCAGCACCATCTTCACTCACCTCATGTTAACAGTAAGTATTTGCACAGTTCCTCTCCTTTCTGAAACCCGTTATCTCAGCACCAAGAAACGAGGTGACAGAAATAGTCAGTTCATATTTATTGGAACATTGAATATTGGGACACTCTAGCGGGACCTTTCATATTTGTGTTACAAGTCTTGGTCTTTTGTCAAGTCGGCTACTTTGTTGAATTAGTGAGGGGGAAAACAATACCCACCTCATTTCTTCCAACATACTTCACATAGGCTACTCGAAATTCTATCAATACCTACATTATGTTGGGTCGTCTTCCAGCTATTGTAATAGATAATGGCACAGGGTAAGATTTCGACGTTGTAGACATTCTAGTAATAATTCAGGTATTCTAAAATTGGTTATGCAGGCAATACGGAACCTCAATCAATTATTCCATCTTGCATTGCTGTAAGGGAGTACAGTAAAGTAGGAACGAAAGAAACCAGACGTCTTGGAACTGGTCTAGATGATCTTAATTTTCACATAGGTGACGAAGCATTAGCACTAGATGGAAAAAACGACTTTTCAGTTAAGGTAAGTGGCTAGGCATTTTCACACATGTTTTCACTGTATCATTCCTGTGCAAGCGACTCATTTTCGCATCACTGAATACGTTCCCAAGCTTACAACAATTCTAAACTTATTCTAACCTATGCGTTGATAATGCCTTTTTATGGTAAATGAAAATTTTTTTCTACCCACTATGTTCTTAAATAACGCTGGTCGTGCTTAAAAAGAGAGCTGGGTGCTGAATTAATGCGACAAAATCTTAAAAAAAGATCAGCATCTGAAATAATGCCTCTATGTGCTGAATTAGGTCTTTTCGTTCTGAAGTAATGCTAGTCAGTTCTGAATATGTGCTGAGAAGGCTAGAATTAAGCTGAAAAAATTGCCACTATGTGCTGAATTAGGTCTTTTCGTTCTGAAGTAATGCTAGTCAGTTCTGAATATGTGCTGAGAAGGCTAGAATTAAGCTGGAAAAATTGCCACTATGTGCTGAATTAGGTCTTTTCGTTCTGAAGTAATGCTAGTCAGTGCTTAATATGTCCTGTAATGTCTGGAACAACGCTGATAAGGAAACCCAGTATGTTCTGATCTACTCCTGAAAATGCCTAGAAAAAGAACACGGTGCTGAATTAGTTCTAGTCATGCTGAAAACCAGCACTGAGTTCTAGTCTGTGCCATTAAACAAACCATTTCAGAATAGATTCAGAATTTACTCACTATAGGATGCAAGAATTATTTCAGAATTACTGAGACTTAATTCAGCATTATTGTAAGCTTGGGTTACTTTATGTCGAGGGATATGCACTAATCTGTAATTTATTAGTCTCTGAACTTTTTATCCTTATTTGAAAACTTTTTATTTTTTATCCTGAAGTTGAGTTCCAGATGCTACATTTCGGAAGTACTTGTGGCCTAAGTGTGATATGGAAAACTTCGTGGGAGTAAATTATGAACGCACGAAATTCCTTTGACGTTGATAGGGATTTAGCAGGAATATTATGTAATTCTTTACATTTTGAAGACTATCACCATGCCTTTCCATTTTTACGCTTCTCGTTCCCATTATTTAGTGGCCTATTCGTCATGGTATAATTGAAGATTGGGATTTGATGCAACGTTACATGGAACAGCTTATCTTTAAGCTACTTCGGGCAGAACCTGAAGACCATTACTTCCTCCTGGTAGGTTTCGTTCATATTTCTTGTGAAGGAGAGTAACTTTTGTTCGTTTTTATATGAGTCATTCCGACACAATACAGAAAACAAGTATTCGTTCACAATGAAATACTATTTCGTCATAACCATCTAAATTCCATATTAGTTTGTTTACTAGATGTATCACAGTGAAACAGTATTATTTACTGGATGACGTTTCGAACGAAATTTATTGTTCATAATCATATCAATTGTAATCACACATCGTTGTGTGGCCATACAGCTGAGAATGTTTGGTGACTGCGTATTTCATCCTCGCCGTCTCCATACAATTGCTTGTGTCTAGTGGCGTCATCAAAGTAATTTTGAGGTACGACAGCGTGTGTTTTGACATAGGGGTATTTCAATAAGTGATATGGCCGGACACTGAGCTCCATGGCTTGGGCATGTCCTGCGAATTTCATCCCAGCGGCTACCATACGGTCCACCGTTTCACTAGCCCTGGGACTAGGTGAAACAGGCGAAGGGATGGTCACTCCGTGACGTGATGCTATGGGTTGAAGGATAGTGTTGGGTAAGCATTTGTTTGCAAATCACGACTTTCTGGGTGGGTTCTAGAGACGGTATTTAATTCGACTGAAAATACAGGTCAGTGGCTAACATGCTGTAATTTCCTCCTTGCTTTGGAGTATTGAACGATCCTTTAAATGCCATTGATAATTATGCCTTTTTCTGGTACTGCCCTCAATTTATTTTATTTGTATTTCATATTTTTACATTATTTTTATGTGCTGCACCTCTCGGTACCCATATTGTACCAAATTTGTGTTTAAATGTAATAAAAGTATACTCAGCCGCTTTTGATGAGCTATGTAAGACGAGGTATAGGAAGTTAAGGAAATCTGATGAAGTAGGTGAAACCAATATGGCGTCCCAACATGATATTTGTGACTTAATCGGGGACATGTGTTCGGATTGGGACATTCAGCGATTAAAGATGCCATTCTACAAACTAAAATAGTTTACAACGGGGCAAATGTATCCATTCTTCAAGTCTACCTGTGAGAACCACAAGAAAGTGAGTTTGGCCCCCATGATGGTCATTATTCTGCGGTACAGATTCTTACAAAAATCAGTTAGAGCTTAGCGAAGCCAAAATATTCAACCAGTCTCCAAAAGATAATGCCTTGGCTATATCTTCGTCCTTCTACAATTTCTGAAACAGACTTAATTACCGGCATTCCACGTCTACCAGACTTCCTAATATAATGACAGCATATGACTTGCTGTCGATACGTGTTGTGGACAAGCTTGGATTTAAAGGAGTGCTGAGGAAGCATATTCTGTCAATCAAGGCATTCTACTAGAATTTATGCAGCTGTTTGTGAGCACATAAAGTTGTTTGAGGCTAGGGCAGCCACCAGTATATGTCAGGGATGTTCATTGTCACCGTTCTCATTTGATCTTATTGTACACGTACTTATGGATCTGCCACTCATCAAATTCATTGTCTTAATGGTTGATCTGTTATCACAAAATTTCTCATCGATTCGAAGCACATTGACAGTATAGTCCATTTAGGTGAAGACGTTGACAAACTATAGAGCCTTCGTAATACTATGAGTGAAGATTCTAAAGTTTGTCATAGAGTTTATCTTTTTCAAATACAAAGGTATGCTACAGGAATAGTCTCTACCGGCTTTCAGTTAAAATGCAAATGATTCACTGGACTCTGATCACGCAACACTTATGCTCAAGGTATATCAGGTATTCCAAGAAAAAATCAATTTTAACTATGTGGGCAGTCAGTCAGGGAGTGCACTCCAAAAGGAAACGGTAAGTTGGGCGTCCGAGGGTGACAAAGAGGAGATAGTATGGGAAGAAAGTGAAAGTTTATAGGCAATCGTGGAGCCAGCTATAAAAGACTTCAAAGAACAGAGTGGAATGGAAACATGCTGTTGGAGCCCTATGCTCCACTCGGGAATAACAACAATAACCATCTATGAAAACCTGTTAAAGTATAAATAATCTAATGTTATTTTATAATTCTCACTATAGCATTAGGAACACGATATTCAGTAAAGAGACTCCTACAAATGTATTATCAAACTGTGCACTTGTATGTATATGATTCTTAAGAAACTATATCCCAAAGAGTGTGAATACCTATACTAGAATAGTATTGTGAAATATGACAAAATGTTTGTGATTTTAATCATATTTCAGTATCAAATGATGAAACGAATTGAGTGATGCATAGAATAGTTCATAAAATGTATACATCCTGGAAAAGGGGTGTGAAGTTGTTAGGATTAGTAGGCAAGTGAAAACGCTACGTAGCATGGTGAGAAGTTTAGCAGGATAAGTTGAATAATACGGGAAACTGTTTAAAGTGAAAAGCTTAACAATAATAGCAATCTTTATAATAGTAAGGGAAAGGTATGCAGAATGAATGAACAAAATCAGAAATAAATTACTGTTTATATCTCTCTACGGCCAAGGTAGAGATATACCGACTGTACCTACTTCTTTTGTACACAAAGGTCTGACTTGAAATTAAGAATGGCCAAGATGTCAGCTGTCTCTCTAAGTTTAGAACGAAGAAAACACGGCAAGTTAACATGAATAGGATGGATGATCTTAAAATCATAATCGGGGTTGGTACAGGGACAAGTTGATCAAGAGTGTCACACACCCTTCCTTTCTCCCCCCATGCTGGAATATGTTCTCGCATCCTGACTGACTGTTTTCAACATAGAACTTTGTACCGATGTGCAGCGGTTCAAGTCGCCACACTCCATGCAGCACAAAAAGCAAGAGAAGAAATACAAAATAGAGACAGTAAACAGAGATATGAGTAATAACGAAGAACAGTATAGTTTCATTGAGTATTATAAGTCACAAGAAGTGTACGCACCTGCGCCATTGAGAACGATTTTGAGCCATATCACCGATTGTTTCCAGCCATTGGTTTTTACCGTCCCGAGGACCTGAACCAGGAAGCCAGTCTACACCTCCTTACGTGGCTTAAAGTAACTGTTGTATATTTCATTGACCGGTGTCATGTTTTCGTTTGACCACCGCTAGCTGTTTTCCAGCCTGACCCTATGTCAGCTAACATTGCCCATTGTCGAGGAAGGCGATGGCTAGGCACACGTGACACATGTCCTAACCATCTCAGTCGATGTAGCTTCACACAGCCATGTCGTTTGGTTTCCCCTTCTTACCTAGCACTCGACGCCCAACCTCAATATTGCTTACCCCATTATACCACTTCACACGGGAGATAGAACACAGGCACCTGTGATCAAAGACAGCCAGCCTTTTCATGTCTTCCACTCTCGATGACGAGGTCTCACAGCCAGCCATAAAGGAGGACGGAGCGGACTGGTGAGCAGTACACACGGCCTTTGGTCGATAGCTAGCCGGACATCACGTCTGCGCGAGAGACAGTGTAAACTGGCATATGCGAACGGAGCCTTCTGTATCCGTGCTGAGATTTCGTCAGCGATCATGTGAACCGTTGCAGTTGTATGTTAATCTGTTAAGATGGCGTAGATATATTTTTTTCAAGTTGAGTCATTGCCTTCAGCTACCGGTAATAATAACTGAAGTAAGGCTAAGTTCAAAAAATTTACTAATCGTTGCACTAAACTATGGTTTGCGCTTCATGAAGTTATTGATTGTATGTCGTAGTCATGCAAATGAGTGCAGATTACCAGCCTGGGTTCATGTAGATACTAAGAATTGATGGACAGGAACTGTGATTCAGGTCGTATAAACAAAAACATGTTCTGCGAATAGTTAATCTCTTCAGCGAAACCACTTTCAAGCTGCACAATCGCATATATATATATATATATATGTGTTTCCAAAGATGTGTCATTAGAATTATAAAATTTAGGTGACATGCTATAGTATAAAAAGCGTTAATTGGGCAGAAACTAAAATGAAATAAGTAAACTGAGTGATGCAATATAATTGACGGGGTTGAGTACGGTTCAACTAAAATTGAACGAGCCAAGTTAACAAAAGTGGTACTGAGAGGTGGAAATTTAATAGGGGATGAGGGAAGAAAAAAATGCAGTAAATATAACAAAAAACAGAAATAACGTATTTGGTGTTAAGACAGATCAGTTCCATTGTAGATTTAGTGACTGAGCAAACTTCTTTTGTATGCAGAGTTCAGGATTTAAAATGTGAATTATCATTGTTTCTGCAGTTTGAAGAAATTTAATTCGTACTCCTCTAGCAAGATTCCCACGTATTCTGTAGATAACTTTGAAGTTCCTATGTGGGTTAGCTTGGTGTCCTTATTTGATCAGGTGTTCCAGGGTAAGGCTGTGGGGTCTTTTTTCTCCTGTATAAAACCATGAGGGCAAGTGTTCGATGAAACGTTTGGATAGCAAACACTGGGTACGGCTGGCATACTTAGCTCCACACGAACAGGTGAATTGATAGATACACATTGACTAGGCCATCAGTGGTAGCTTATCCTTCACGTTTATGAGAATCATTGGTTTTGTAGAGAAAGTTAGTCGAAGTTCAGCCGCTAAATAGGTTTTCTTCAATGAGCGGGACAGGCAGTTTCTCAGTACTTCTACCGATGAGTCTCTATTGAATTGTAGATTCAAGTAGGGAAGTCTTGGGAGCAGGAAGTGTGGGCGGTTTTAGTGGTTTAGGCTTCATGGACTTTATGATGAAACGTTCCGCGTAGCCATTTTCAAGGAGAATTCTTCTCAGAGCGTTCAGGTCCCCTTCCATAGTGTCAGGGCTACAAATGCTGTGGATTCTGTAGCTCGATGAACGGATTAGGCTTCATTTTGTATATAGAGGTGAGTTGTCCGTTCCATATCGGGTTTATATAGATGAATCTTTTTAGTGTTCCATCTTGTTCACGTCTTGTTAGTTAAACGTCCAGAAAAGATATTTTTGTGTCGGACTCCTCTAATGTGAACCGGATTTCAGGGTGGCAGCCGTTGAAAAAGTCCAGGATGTCTTCCATTACTCAGTGGGGTTTTTTAAGTTGTTACTGAGATAACTTAAAATCATCCACAATGATAGGGATGCACTCATTTCTTGTTATCTTCCAGATTGTAGAGAAATTCAGTATTCCTAATGTGATGACTCTCCTTTACATGTATTTTTGTCTATAGCAGTAATTTTACGTTGATATTTTCTTACTTTGTGCATTTCTTTGAAGTGTAGCAGCTCAGAATGAATAAGCGAAATTGTACTCAGTAATTCGCAAACTGAATTATTGTTTCTCTCTACCTGATGGTACGTTTAACTCTTGGGAGTGATTAACACCTTTTTCAAAAAAATCCTAATACATTACCGCTTCTTATTTTGCTAATTTCCAGACAGAACCACCATTGAATACTCCAGAGAATCGTGAATATACAGCTGAAATAATGTTTGAAACATTTAATGTTCCCGGGCTTTACATTGGTGTACAGGTAAAAACAAATAACTTCTGCTTTACTCTTAATAAGGTTAATGTAATAATGTTTTCCGCTCTATTTTGTTCTCTGCTATCTTTTTTAGCTGACCCCACGATTTTTATAAGCTGACATATCTTCACATGATCTACTCCATGTCACAATCAGACACCCGACTCGTCGTTACCCATTTAGGTTCCACTCGAGCGATTGCATTTCTCTTGATGTCACTCATCAGTCTCTACACCGTTTGTTCGACCCATCTCTGTTTCCTTCGGTTTATTTATTGGGCAATAGGTCCTTGATTAGCCGGCCGCACATCAAAGTTCATCGTTGCTCGTCCTTTCTGGACATTTAATCTTCAGTATGCTGCCAGAGTAGGCAGCTGCCGATGGAAGTATGCAGCCTGATGGAAATGCTTTCGGTGACGCGACAAATTTTTGAACCATATAGAAGCACTGACTGACCTGACATTCTTGAAAATTTGAATCTTGCTTTTATGCTGAGTGCAACGGATTTCCTCATTGATTTCGGATCAGTGAAGGTCTCTCTTGCTTTTCCGACCCTGGCTTACTTTGACATCCACATCCGCGCCAACGACTGCCTGTCATTTGAACAACGCTGCCTAGATAAGTGAAAGAGATGACTTCCTTTATATTTCTCCTGTTGAAAGAAATCTATGCTATTTCGAAAATTTCGAGTCTATAGTCTGTCAGAGCAGTAACTTGAATATCATTTAATTATTTAAGTAGTTATAGACTCTTAGACAGTTTTGCTGGCACAACTCGCCATCAACAATAAACATGTAAATGTCATATTAATTACTTGTAGGTAATCAACATTTTCACCTGCATTGATATTATATGAAGCCTAAATGACTAGTTTGTTATAAACTCCATCTTCTAGTAACGCCATGAAAAGACGTTATTGTTCTAAATGATTTGTGTTATATGCACAAGTAGGATCTATCAAGGAATATAAATTTGCTTAAGGTCACACTTGTACACTTATCTGTTAGATATACAGACATGCAGATAAAATTACACTCATTATTGCGTATTTGTGGCTTTTTAGCGTCTGTTGAGTTATTGTTGCTCGAATTGTTTCGAAATTACTACATTGTATTCTTATTTTGTTTACTTCAAAGGCTGTATTAGCGTTAGCTGCTTCATGGTATTCTAATCGAGCTGGTCGTTTACTTACCGGAACTGTTATTGATTCCGGTGATGGTGTTACGCATGTCATACCTGTAGTCGATGGTTATGTGATTGGTTCATGTATTAAACATATACCGATAGCTGGACGTGATATAACATCTTTCATTCAACATCTGCTTAGAGAAAGGGAAAGTCATATCCCACCTGAATTGAGTATGGAAGTTGCAAAGCAGATTAAAGAACGGTTAGTCTAACAAATTCCTATCTATATATTCTATTATTGTGTAAATTGTAAAATTAATTGTAAAGTTATCTCTTCTCAAAACGATATTCTCGGTCACTGAAATTATTCAGCTAGATAATCCTGGTTTACATGTTTGACTATAAGTTAGAGGGCTATTGGAAACCCAGGGAGTAGTGGAAAGCTGTTTCTTCCTCGTTTGGCACTCTCCAGAAGTACGCACCCACCAGGGTTCGAACCCAGAACCTTCCAGTTACAAGGCGAGCTCGTAGATCATTCAGCCACTGGGACTTTATCCGTAGCCCGTGAATTCCAACTCTGTGATCAAACCTGCAACCAATCAAATCCACGTAAACCAGCACTTGAAAATCCCTGTTTCGCTGTTAAGGATGAGATTATTTAAAATGGTATGCTTGAGACGACTATAAGTTCAGGTGTTTACGTGTCATTTTTACCTGTATTGGATATTGCCTTGATTTATTATCAATGTTGGTTAGATTAGATCTGTCATAAAATTATGTAATCACCCGTTACTAATCTGTATCGTAAAGAGATGCCTAGACTTCTTTGATTTCGTCAAACTGTAATGACTACAAATGTATGTTAAATTAAGAAAATGTATTTATTCTACATCTAGTCTTCACTTGCCTGTTAATTCCTGTACGTATTTCTTCTCTCTTACTTTGATGTTTTAAATTTTCTGAATCGTAATTACATAGCATTTTTGAAGTTGGTTGACAGGATGGAGCGTAGGGATTCAAAAACACATCACCACTTTGTTCTGTTTCCTGTTGTCCTCTTCAGCTGAACAGTCGGCTCTTAGTAGGTTTGTTGCCAGAGTTTCTTGTAACTAATTCTTTCCGGCCATTTGATCTCCGGTATGCAGCCGGCTAAAGGGACAGCTGCTGATAAAAGTCTTCAGCCTGTTGGAAATCCCTTTCGTGACACGGCCGCCATGTTTCTGACCCATATCGAAGCAGTGACTGACTGACTGACTCCACATTTGTGTTGAATAGAATCCGAATCTTGTGGTTTATACTGGTTGGGTGCAATGCAGATGATTTCCAATCTGGTTTCAGGTTGTTGGATGCATCTCTTGCCTTTCCAATTCTGGCTGGCTGGCTTTGACATCGTCATCCATTCCAACTGTTTGTGATTGAAACCGTGCTTCCTAGATAATAAGTGAAGCCAAGAAGTAACCTCTGTCAAATCTCTCGTGTTGATGGTGATTGGCACTGTTTGTTGTTGTCGCTGTTGGTTGGTTATCTTCACCTCCGTCTTCTCTATGTTCACCTGGTGTTCTGTCTTCACTATCCGTTTCTTCAGCAAGTTTGTTGGTTTTTGTTTGCAAGTCTTCAAGTTTGCGTGACATTAGACATATATCATCGGTGGCCTGATTCTATAACGCGTAGACCTATGGCTGATGATTTTTCAAGCGAGAAATCAAAATCAAAAGAAATGAGCATCATAGAGCGTCTGTTCAGCCATCGATAAACCCAGATAAATAAGGAAAGCTTGAAAAATCATCAGCCATAGGTCTACACGCTATATAATCAGACCACAAAATTGATCTTAACAATATTGAAATAATCCAGAAAAATTTCAGAAATCACAAAGAACGTCTAATATCAGAAGCACTTCATATCAAATGGAATCCAAATTATCTGAATAGGAATGATGGACTACAGCAGAATTTAAGCTAGTTACAACACCCCACCTACCTCCTTCCATGAAATAACACAATCAACACGAATGTGATAAGCAATTTCATTGTGTAAACACACACTGCTTTTATAATTGTGTACACCTACCAGATTCAACAATCTCCACCTGGTTTTATTATCGTTACCAATTGGTCAACGTGACAACGCAAAAATGACTCCATGCTGAGGAACGATGGCTAAGTTGTTACATATGAGCTGAGATTCTGTAAATTCTGGTTTAATAATACACTGATAAAGCTATTAACATTAAATAGCGAAACGTCAGTAAAGACAATATCGTCTTGTTTTTCATTCATTAGGGAATACAAAAAGCCTTTATTATAGTGAATATCATAAGCTGTTAAAAGTGAACTTGTTCATATTCTATCCACACAAAGGATTCGATATCTGAATAATTGGATTGTGTGAGCCGTAGCTACCTTTTGCTGTATTCTAAGGCAGTATAACGTAATTCTTATTTAAATAGTTGTAGATTTCATCTATCAAGTAGGATTTCGGTAAACTGATTTTGAGATTTCAATATAGAAAATATCCCCATTTAGACATTTGGAAAACACAAAAGATTGAGCGAAGAAATATTTACTTTTCAATTAGATCCTCTTCTCTGGCTCTACTCTAATATATATAGCATTTTTACAATACACAACAATTTACCAAACAGTTTCGAAAAAGCCAATGTTCATAAAATTGCAGTTCCTCGGTGACAACATCAGTGAAATCATAACACAGCGCTTCAAGAATGCAGTTAAAAGAGCTTATTATGCAGCAGAAGTACGTTGTCTCTTCACAACCACCCCCACTCTATGTTCGAGAAATAAGGATAAACTACCTAATTTTGCCTCTTCTATGTGTGTCTACCAGTTTGACTGCAGCTGCGGAGCCAGCTACATTGGGCGCACAATTAGGCAGTTTCATCGTCGTATTTCTGAACATCATCCAGCGTGGTTAAGCAAGGGACAAACAAAATCTATTCGTAGTTCTATTTTAGCACACCTTGTTGATACTGAGCACAAGGTTGATGTGAATACTGCATTCAAAATTATTTATCGCATTCCGACTAATCTCAACTTTGCTCTAAGAGTTCGTCTTCTACAGACAGCAGAAGCAATAGGAATCCACCTGAAGCAGCCAAACCTGTGTGTTCAGAAGAAATTTGTACAACCACTTTGCTTACCGTGGCCATCGTTACAAGACAGGACTACGTCGCCCCCCTCCCCCTATTAAATTATAATTGTCCAAATTATTTTCTTTTATTTTATTTTGACCACTTCATCTTTAATTACGTGTTATTCTTGTAAAATTAATTTATTCTATCCATTTCTACTTTTTAAATGTGTATTGATTTTCTGCGTTAATTATCTACCCATTGACATTTTGACACTGTTTAAATATTGTTAACAAACATATCACCACTTGTTTGGTAAATTGTTGTGTATTGTAAAAATGCTATATATATATATTAGAGTAGAGCCAGAGAAGAGGATCTAATTGAAAAGTAAATATTTCTTCGCTCAATCTTTTGTGATTTTGAGATGACAGATGTGTAGATTCATGAACTATCCGAGCTGATGAATGATACTATCTTCTGGTCATTTTCAATTTGTAGCGTGATGTTTACGAGTTCAATCCTTTGGATGGTCTTATGTGCACATTGTGCAAGAGTTTGGAACCAGGGAAGTAGCGTACTACTGTTCTATAGCTGGTGTCACTTCATGAAGTCTACCATGAGGGGTTTATACTTTCTAATTAAACGGAATTCTGAATATGTATCTAAGTTATTGTGATTGGTTTTGAGTCATATTTTAATTTTCTTTCCATTGTTCCCCAAATTCTCGAATTTCGACCACACAACAGTTCTCTGAGTGGGACTCTTTATGTGTGGAAGATATCCACCGTGAGTAGGCTTTGTGTTTAGATTTCAAGTCTTGACCATTGTTAGTATTTGGTAATACCATTACAAAAACAGTAGAGTAATGGACGATGTAGATAAATCGGCCGATGATGTGCCTGCGTAATGTATTGAGTTTCTCTACCCAACTAACATTGAGCATTAATGTTGATAGTGAGCGACCTTGATATCACATTTGCCGCCCTACAAACGGCCTGATACAGCCGAGGGTGGGTAGACTTCGGTCTTCTCTCTCGAAATGTTCTTATGTGGTCACGCATTCATACCTTCTGCCACCACATAAGTCCTATTTACTACTATCACACAATAAGAGTATTCTTCACAAAAGTGAAAGGGGGAAATAGAATATCTGGCGCTTACAACCAGACTTGTGGATACGCACGTCTACCCACCTAGGGGAGTTGAAAAACCCTGCTTCCAAACCGACCATGTATATGGGGTCCAGAATCTGAAAGGACCGAGTGGCCTATGCACCTGTTTTGCTCGGAGGAAACCATGGGGATTTAGATCCTGACGCTGCTCTACTGCCTTGTGGATCAGATTCGAGTAGCCTATTAAGAAAACCACCTGCTTCAGTCTAGCCGTCCGGGCAGTATCCCAACCCTTGCACAAACTGTGAAACAATTTTGCGTGGCACCATCTTTTACTGCCCATAATAATAACAAGTCTATATTTTAATAAATAAATAAAATTTCCTCTTTTATATAACGTCTGACTGTTATCCTTTATTTATTTAATTTTGGTTAGCCAATATCTTTGTAATTGACTGCTGCATTCTCTCTTTGTTCTGATTTATTTTCATTCTCTTTTTTTGCCACTTTAGTTATTCATATGTTTGTCCTGATTTACCCAAAGAATTTAGTAAGTATGACAGTGAACCAGATAAATGGATTAAACCTCATGTTGTTTCAAAATCGGCTAAGTACCCGGCCTTTTCTGTTGACGTTGGCTATGAACGTTTCCTAGGCCCAGAGATATTCTTCCACCCAGAGGTAAGTAACCGTATATATATATATATATATATATATATATATATAGTTTTCAATTAGATCTCATCAGGCTTAACTCTAATATATATAAATTTACAAATAAAATTCAAATATAAACCAATCATGGTGTTTTGTCTATAGGATAATACGATGGTGAATATAAATTGTGCAATTAGTCATAACAGTAGTCATGATAATAATAATAATAATAATAGTAATAATAAAAATGGTCTTATCAATAATAGGAAACATTTATTTCCCGATACAAATTTAAAACAAGCAATAAAGGTTAATAAAGCAGGATTTAATGAATTCATCAAATTTCGGTAGAACTCGTCAGCTGAATACTCTACATACACGGATATATACTTTTGAAGTTTCATTGGGAGATATAGGACTGAATACTTTACATACACAGATATATATACTTTTGAAATTTTGCAGAGGCTTGTGCAATTCGAGTTTACAAACCAGGTCTCTGTGTACAAAAGGAGATGGTTGTGACTCTGAATCTACCATGGTAATACGTTGTACTTATAATTTTACCTCTTATTATTATTATTTTTATTATTACTATTATTATTCTCATTATTATTATTCTTGATTCATTTAAAACTATCCTTTATCAGTAGCATTATCTTAACTCACTTCAACACTATTATTATTGTTATTATAACTATTACTATTGACATCCCTCTGGTTGCAATGCTTGTTAAATTCTCTAATGTCTAATTGTTTATCTAAGTGATGTAATTGAAGCGTAATGCAATTTATCTTAATTTTGATCTCCCATACTCTCTCTCCCCTTATCTAATTGGACATGACCTGGAAAAACATTCGCACCTGTCTTTCTGCATGACTAATTCAATGTAGTTTATTTACTTATCAGTCCTATATCTCCCAATGTAATTTCAAAAGTATATATATCCATGTATGTAAAGTATTCAGTCCTATATCTCCCAATGTAACTTCAAAAGTATATATCCGTGTATGTAAAGTATTCAGCTGACGAGTTCTACCGAAATTTGATGAATTCATTAAATCCTGCTTTATTAACCTTTATTGCTTGTTTTAAATTTGTATCGGGAAATAAATGTTTCCTATTATTGATAAGACCATTTTTATTATTACTATTATTATTATTATTATCATCATTACTACTATTATGACTAATTGCACAATATGCATATATATTTGTATATTGTTTCCATTTCAAAAGATGTAAGGAATGATAACAAGGAAAAACAGTTTTTTTCATCACAAATTAAAAAAATATATCCTTTACTGGAATATTGTATTAGCCAGATATTACTTCCGTTTTGACAAATACACTGACCGATGCGTACTGACTGTGCGCTTAACTGTCTGTTTCAGAAATTTCAAATCAGTAGAAATTCCGGAGGGTGGGGTGGCGGCATCATTGAAGTGAAAATTCACACAAGAACCATTCAGGAATGGATATAACATTAAGAATAGTTTGATTTATATAAATGTATATATATGTTTAGCAAGCTATGTGTGCAGTTTGACAAGGAGTGATTTTTTAATTGAACTTGGTGAATACGCACAAAAGAAAGGGTTGGCAACCCTGACCTCCATATGGCAAAGTTAAACTAAAGGGTCCAAAGGGATGCGAACGCACGAGTGACCCTGAGCCGACCGACCATAAGAATGAGTGATCTTTGCACAAAAAATGACGTTTATTTACAAGAAAATGCATGAAAACACATTGAACATGGTATCTTTCTCTGTCATGACTTAAAAATACGTCCCACTTATAATGAGGAATATCAGTTTTTAAGTTAGACCAATTTCTGTACATATATTCACCGAGATGACTTAAGGTGAGCTTCTTTTGTAACCCGTTTAACGCTCTTATCCTCTTTTGCAGTCTTCCCAAAAGCCCTTGGTTGAATTAGTATGGTGTCCAGTAAAGGAATCAACGACCGCTTAGTAGGCTAGTGTGGATAATAAAATAAATAATACCAATTCCAAACCTATCACTAATCGTAACCGTTATCCTCAATCCTAACCCTAATCCTAATTATCACCCTGATCCTAACCCTAATGAGCTATTAACACATTGTGCAAACAATACTTAAAAACGTGATCTGGGTGAAATTTCCTCCGTAGTTGGTGAATAGCGTTCATATTTGCGCTATAATAATGACAGTTGTCGTTAGTCAACGACTAACATGCGTTCAAAGTCATGGGAGCGTTCACATCCCTTGGGATCCTATAGTTTTACTTCGCCCTCCATATGAATATAATGCTAGTTCCCCTCTAGCAAAATGTCGAAACGGTTTGTAGAGATTAAATGTACTGTCTGGTGATGAGTTCTGTTCATGTTTATAGAACTATGAAGTTTAGCAGTTAAAATAAAAAATAATAGTTAGAACTAGGGGATTTACAAAGGCTTTATGCATTTGGTCATGACTGGTTTTTCTGGAATCACTTACGTGTAATAGAGTTACGATGTGGGAACGCAATAGTTAATATAAAAATCCTTTTTCAGAGTTACAGGTCAGTAAATTCTCCCCCAATACATTAGAAAGTTAATCTGAAGTAAGATTATAGGTGGCTATGGCAACATTTTATACAATCCGTCACCACTTGTTTGTATTGTGTGAGGAATTATAAGCTTCCTGATTGGTGTCTATGAAGCATTTTGAAACATTAATTCCATGCTTCGTGCGTCGATGGCACAGCGGTATAATGCTCCCCAACCACGCATGTTGTCCGGGGTTTGATCTCCGGCCGACGCACTCCCTAACCTCGCTAAACCAGTAATAAGACTGGTAAAGAGGGATGGTTGGGCATGAGGCTAGCAACCCCATCCCGCAAAAATAAACAGCACTTCTACCGAAAGTTCAAGTCTCTAGGTTGAAGCCTTATGTTCCACTAGGAACGTAAAGGAATAGAAAAAAATTCCATGCTCATTGATGCAAATCAAAACAGATCACATTAGGGCAGAAAGGTTACTGCTTATCTCCCTTGATATATCACATGCTTTCATTTCTTCATTTTTATTTACCCCTGTCTATGTGGCACCAACCTGTGTAAACGTCATAAGACTCTTCACGCTTATATCTTCTACATAAGACTAAGTTATTCATATACTGTAGGCAAATAAGGGAAGTTAACCAGTGAAATCGCTTCATTTAAAGTTTGATAATGAGAAGCGAAGTCTTTTAATCATACCATTCGAATCAAAAACTAGTATTTAGTTATTTATTTTAAGCATTTACTCACGTAAGAGCATTAATGGTTATTCAAATGGATGTAACTGTGTCTCTCTAGAATACAGATTCATTAACATCCTCATTAGCAGCAGATATCTGCCTTCATTCGATTTACTTGGATGTTTTATTTGTTTTTTTTTTGGTTTATTTATTTTCATTTTAGTTTGTCAATCCAGACTTTACAACTTCATTAAGTGATGTTGTCGACGAAGTGATTCAGAAGTCACCTATTGACTCACGTCGTGGACTTTATGGTGTAAGTTGTTTTGCTGTTGTTTTTTTGTTGCTGTTTACAGATGATCAGTATTGTTCTCTGTTAAATCTTCTTCAGTTTTAACTGGATTTTATCTATTAAGCTGTGGGTATATATGCATGTATATTGAGCATTAATTTATATCTGCTTGGCTAGGGTACCATCGAATTACCGAAAACCTTGGTAGATGCAAGTGGGTTTACTCACACGACCCGGCTGATAGCTGCTAACTTGATGTGGTCATTGGGTTTGTATATAGCAATGATTCAATGAGTTAAGTGACTAAAAAGAATGTTTCTGCAGTTCGTAGCATGTCAGAAAGGTCGTGTGGATAGTGATTAGGCTGAAAGCAGCTGCCACCAAAGGTGTTGAGTCGCTCACACTATGTCCAAGCACTGAGGATGAATATGAATGTAACAGCAGTAACGTGTTCCCCTAGGATGAGAAGCGAGCTAGCTATGCTGCCTCTCCGTTATGTGTGGGGGAAAGGGGTTAGAGAAAGTAGACCCTGAAAATTGTACATCCCGATCTACCTTGCGGCTGCTTGTAGCCGCCAGTAGGATCTTCACATGGATACAACTTCAAAAACTAAGTTTGCGTAACTGGCCTTAAGCATATTAATATATGTGTAAAATGTGGGCACTGTGGTAATAATTAACTCCATATTAGTTTAATTATTAGATGTATCACACAGTGAAACAGTATTATTTAGTGGATGACGTTTCGAACAAAATTTATTGTTCATAATCATATCAATTATAACAATAATAAGCATATATGAAAACCAGTTAAAGTATAAATATACATTTATAAAATTTATTTGCAAAATCTCAGCGAAATTGAAATGAGTAATTCGGCAATCTGGTCCGAACTTGCCGAACGAAACGTTGGAATTAATCACTTCAATTTCGCTGAGATTTAACAAATATAATTTTATAAATGTCTACTTCTCACTCAGCGCTCAGTTATTTTGCAAATATCCGGTCAAATCCTGATCACAGTTCATATGAAAGTATAAATAATCTAATGTGTTATTTTATAATTCTCACTATAGCATTAAGAACACGATATTCAGTAAAGAGACTCCTACAAATGTATTATCAAACTGTGCACTTGTATGTATATGATTCTTAAGAAACTATATCCCAAAGAGTGTGAATACCTATACTAGAATAGTATTGTGAAATATGACAAAATGTTTGTGATTTTAATCATATTTCAGTATCAAATGATGAAACGAATTGAGTGATGCATAGAATAGTTCATAAAATGTATACATCCTGGAAAAGGGGTGTGAAGTTGTTAGGATTAGTAGGCAAGTGAAAACGCTACGTAGCATGGTGAGAAGTTTAGCAGGATAAGTTGAATAATACGGGAAACTGTTTAAAGTGAAAAGCTTAACAATAATAGCAATCTTTATAATAGTAAGGGAAAGGTATGCAGAATGAATGAACAAAATCAGAAATAAATTACTGTTTATATCTCTCTACGGCCAAGGTAGAGATATACCGACTGTACCTACTTCCTTTGTACACAAAGGTCTGACTTGAAATTAAGAATGGCCAAGATGTCAGCTGTCTCTCTAAGTTTAGAACGAAGAAAACACGGCAAGTTAACATGAATAGGATGGATGATCTTAAAATCATAATCGGGGTTGGTACAGGGACAAGTTGATCAAGAGTGTCACACACCCTTCCTTTCTCCCCCCATGCTGGAATATGTTCTCGCATCCTGACTGACTGTTTTCAACATAGAACTTTGTACCGATGTGCAGCGGTTCAAGTCGCCACACTCCATGCAGCACAAAAAGCAAGAGAAGAAATACAAAATAGAGACAGTAAACAGAGATATGAGTAATAACGAAGAACAGTATAGTTTCATTGAGTATTATAAGTCACAAGAAGTGTACGCACCTGCGCCATTGAGAACGATTTTGAGCCATATCACCGATTGTTTCCAGCCATTGGTTTTTACCGTCCCGAGGACCTGAACCAGGAAGCCAGTCTACACCTCCTTACGTGGCTTAAAGTAACTGTTGTATATTTCATTGACCGGTGTCATGTTTTCGTTTGACCACCGCTAGCTGTTTTCCAGCCTGACCCTATGTCAGCTAACATTGCCCATTGTCGAGGAAGGCGATGGCTAGGCACACGTGACACATGTCCTAACCATCTCAGTCGATGTAGCTTCACACAGCCATGTCGTTTGGTTTCCCCTTCTTACCTAGCACTCGACGCCCAACCTCAATATTGCTTACCCCATTATACCACTTCACACGGGAGATAGAACACAGGCACCTGTGATCAAAGACAGCCAGCCTTTTCATGTCTTCCACTCTCGATGACGAGGTCTCACAGCCAGCCATAAAGGAGGACGGAGCGGACTGGTGAGCAGTACACACGGCCTTTGGTCGATAGCTAGCCGGACATCACGTCTGCGCGAGAGACAGTGTAAACTGGCATATGCGAAACGAGCCTTCTGTATCCGTGCTGAGATTTCGTCAGTGGTCAACCCGTTGGAGCTGATGCCACTTCTTTTAATAAGTGAAGTAGTCAACGTGCTCTACGACTTCACTCCCTATTTCTAAGCTAGGAGTCAATGTCGTCCAGTCCTGTAGCATCATCTTTCATTTGGCGGGAGCAAAGCGCATGCCGAACATTCGTAGATTGTGGCTCAAGGTGTTCAGAAGACTCTGCATTTTGTCATCGTCTTCACTTAGAAGGATTATATCGTCTGCATATTCTAAGTCAATGAGATTATTCCCTAGTAACAAGTCAATCGCTGAGTCGCTGTAGTCCGTTAGCCTTAATTCCAGCAGTACATCTATGATGAAGTTGAATAGAAATTGGGATAATTGGCATCCTTGACGGACGCCACTGGTCGTCACCACTTCAGATGACAACTCACGGTAAGCCCTCACCTGACTGGCTGCGTGAGTTCGAGTAGAGTGCCTTAATCAGTGCAATGTATTTTCTCGGCATTCTCTTTGCAGCCAAGCATCTCCAGAGTAACTCTAGGTCGACAGAGTCGAATACCGCCTTTAGGTCTAGAAATATGATGGTGGTTGGACGCCAGTAAGTATGCCTATGCTCTAGAACCTGTAGAAGGGTGAAAATATGATCAACACACCCTCTTCATGGTCTAAAGCCTGCCTGGTTATCTGGTGTTTGTGCCTCCCGAGCACCACTTAGTCTACGCAATATTATTGAGCCTAGGACTTTGGATACCGTATTAATCAAGCTAATCCCTCTGTGATTATCACAGGAAGACTTGTCTCCCTTCTTGTATATCGGGATGATCAGTGACTTACACCAACCCGATGGGAATTCCTCTGATTCCCAGACGCTACCTAGTACCTCAGTTAACGCAGACAATAAACTGTCTCCGCCATCCTTAATTACCTCTGTGGCCATTCCATCAGGTCCTGCTGCTTTGCCTCATTTCAGATTAGTGACAGCCTTAGTAACCTCATTTTTGGGACGGTGGACCTGTGTCTATATCCTATTCAGGCAGGTGTTGGATGTTCGGTTAGTTAAGCATGGCTGTAGGCCAATTAAACTGCTCCTCGAAGTGTTCTTCCCAGCGTTCCAGTCGTCTATCTTGGAAGGTAATTATAGGGCCATTTTTCCAGAGATTGTTTCACTTATCGTTTGCCTTTTACCAGCTGTTTCCCCGAGTTCTCGCATCTGTGTGGAGATCATTCTTTGGTTATGACCAATGTATGTTACTCAGCGAGAACATGTTAACTGAAAGGCACATCGAGACAGCTTATCTTTTACAGGAGCGGAGAACAAATTCCGGCTCGTGAAGGTCAGTTGGAGTTTATTTGCAAACGGAGTCTTTCTGAGAGGTTTAGAGAAACGATTTCTGAGCATACGTGAATTCTGATCACCTTTGATTTTCAAAGTCATGAAGATGGTTTTCTTTGGAACTAAATCAGTGACCAGTGGGTTTGCTTATCTTTCGTGTTTTTGTCAATAAATGTGTTCGGGTAACTGTTTTCTGCAAGCGTAGCTTTTAGGAAGGAATGTTCTTCGTCAACACAGTAAAAATTACAAGTACTTCCTATACTTATGGCAAAGCGAATGAATCAAGTTGCTTCTGCTGGAGATAGGCAACTAACTGTACATATCGGTATGTTGTCGATTCCATATGCGTTTTCGGTGGATGGAACTGTTACATCTAGTGAGGTGCTCGTCAAGAAGAAGAAGGCTTAGTTCCAATTCTTTTTCTATTGTAGATTGTAAGCATGGATGACAGTTGTTGGATGATAGCAAAATATCATCAAATACTACGTCTTTGTCACAAATAATGCATGTGTCGCCTACATAGCTTCTGCAAATATCAAAGTGACTAATAGCTTGACTAAGCTGAGTGTTTTCAAGCTTTGATATAGAACAGTAGCCAACAGTGGACCCAGTGGTTATCCCATCGCGATCCCATGCTTCTGTCTATAAATTTCATTATTGAAGCTGTGCTGAATGTTTATTTTAGTAAGGGTTCTGTGAGGTAATTTGTTGGCAGCCCTGAATTATGTGAGTCAATAAAATAGCATATATAGGAGACAGTTTCTGTGAGATATACATTATGCAATGCAGAGAATGTGGCATGTCAGAAAAGTTTAAATATTAGGTTACTGAGGGAAATATGATATTATGGGGAAGAATGGATATGTTCTGTTGAAATAAATCATAAACCACAACACGTAGAGTGTCCAACTATAAATTACTAGTGAGTCAAGTTGGGTATGCAATTACAGGCAATAATCAGTGACTATATAAACTTGTGCCACGTCTTAGCCGCATCACTCCACACTTTCTTGTAACCTGATTAAGAGCAGTAATCTTACCTGAAGTATTATAAAAATGTATCTTCATGTATAGGTATTTATCATTTTATACTTATCGGTTTTATCCTACTATATACAAACTCTTGATTGATACAACAGATAATCAGACTTCAGCAAAAAAATTGCAGTGGTTTGAATTGCATGCCACCTAACAGCCACATACAAGATTGTACACTAAAGCTTAACTCACACTTTTTTAAAATAAAAACTCGGTATTCCCCCTAACTACTTGAATAAAATTTCGTGGAACTCATTACTTAGGAGTTGGTAGTTGTGTACTTACACCAATAAGCCAAAGTTATATTACTGATTACTGACTAATGAGAGAATCTTCTATCATTCACAGTATAGCTTTTTTAGTTTATTATTTTTACTATTGGAACACAGACTTGGTACATTATGGACTCCAAGAGATGCAGCACACGAAACATCTCATGTTGCTCGGACGCCCAGACTGAAGCAGGTTGTCTTAAGAGGCCCTACATCCAACCGACCCTTGGACTTGAAGTCTGATTCACAAGACAGTGAGGGCGCATCAGGAGCTACGTTCCCATGCTTGATGGTGTCCAAAACAGGTTCCTACGCCATTGGATCCTTTCAGAGACTAGAGAATATATACACCATATTTTTTTGAATCAGAGTTTTTCCACCTCCTCTACGTAGACCAGTTGTAAGCACCAGATGACGTTTCGAGCACAAATTATTGCTCATAATCATATGAAGTTACTCATACAACCTTTTCCTTCATTTATATACATGTCTGGAATTGACCAGATATTTGAATAAAAATCAATATGGGATAATGTACATTCAGAAATAATAATACGAGTGTTATTAATCAATTACAATGAGATGGGAAATGAGACGAGTGTTTTGAGTCATAATAAGCAACTTGTTAGAATGTTGCGATGTGCTTGAAGTGAAATAAAATTTTGAGATTATTTATTATTCTCTTCTGATTTGACTGGCGGTAATAATATCTTCCATATTTCTGGTATTTGCATGGAGTCATTTCTGTTGCATGTGTTGGGTGTAGACTGGATGAACCAGGATTCAGTAATCAATCTCTCTGTCCACCTACATAGATTACTTCTTAGAATCTTAACCCTCTCCCACCCTATTGTATGGTTTTGTGTTAATGCATGCAGTGCTATTGCTGAGCTTTTTTCTAAATTACTCATCGTCTCGGGGTCAACCATTCTTACCTTAGCTAGATTCTTGTTCCGACAATCTGATTAACCCCGATCTACTAGGTTGACCTATATAGTTGACCTCATAGTCATTGCAAGGTATTTTGTAAATTATACTATTTTGTTTAATATTTGTTTTATTTGAAAATGAGCTATAGTTTGTGCTCGAAACGTCATCAGTTAATATTCCTGTAAAACACTGTGTGATTTATGAAAATAAAATCTTATCCATAATGGAGTTACACTCTACCACAGTGACCAAGTTTTATACTTATATGTAAGCACCAGACTTTCGCATTCGCACTTTCACTTTTGTGAAGGCAGTGAATGGGATTTACCTGGCAGAGGCAATGAACGCGTGGCCGCATGATGCGAGCTTGCTCATCCTTGATCGTATCAGGCCGTTTGTAGAGGTAGTAGTCTTCCGTATGCATTGATAGTTTCCGCAAAAATTCTAATTCCAGTTTATTTCCAACACTTTACGTCAGGTAAATTAATTGTATAACCTGGTTTCTGGTTCTTTTTTGTAATTTTATTATTTTAGTTGGATATTTGTAGCCTAAATAATCTCCTTATCATATGCTTAGTAGGGTAATATTACAGTGTTTTGCATAAATTTAGTGTCAGTTAAGGATTTAAAACCGTTCTTTGTCACGAATAATAATAACAGTATTAATGTAAATTCATTTCGCCCTTTTTCGTAGAATATTGTTTTATCTGGAGGTAGTTCAATGTTTAAACACTTGGATCGTCGTTTACAAAGAGATATAAAAAGAAATGTTGATAATCGTTTGAAAATGACTGAGGAACTTACTGGTGGTCGTGTTAAGGTAGGCAAAAGTGTTCCTTTCTGTTTATTATGTATATCATTTCTTTGCGCGTTCTCAATGGAGCATAGGGTTTCAAGTTGGGGCGTTTGGGTTTCATTAGCAGTGATGCTTCTTTTACAGGTTGGGTTTGCTAGCCTCCCATCTTTTCCGGGTTTAATACCGACTTAGGGAATTTTAGGAGTGCTTCGGTGGGGAATCAATTCCCGAGCTGGTCCATATATGGCGTGGTTGGCGCATTCCCTACCATTGAACCACCGGCGCACGTTTATCCAATGCAACCTCCATCTCTTTTCTGCGCATGTGACTTTTTCACATTATCGGAGTGTTTTCTTTTTAAAAGAAACGTTTCAGTGAGGAGTCGAAGTAAAAACGACTATTATTCTGTGTAATACATACATAAGAGAGTATTAAATAGGATAATCCAGAAAGATGAGGTATTTAAAGTTAAGAATGTATAAATCTTTAGGTTTGTAAGATTTGACTACTTTAAAAAAAATCGACTTTGCTATGAATCCAGACAAGTTATTGTGAATCGCTGGGAACCAAAAACTATACTGGTCAGTCCTTTTGTTCTAGTTTGAGACAGTTCATTAGTGCCCATCTACAACTTCACGGCTGATAAAGGTAGAGGTTGTTGAGTTTTGAGGCAAGCAATACTTCTTTCAGTTTGTAATATAGCACAACCACCATCCAATTTTATTGGTATATGTTCTCAAATCTGAAAGTAATAAATCCTATTGGCGACAACTCACTATAGTAATAAAAAGTCTAGTTCACTGTCAACCAGCAATCATCGGCGGACTTACATCAAGTTACTGCGTAAAAGGGTGAATTCAAACGTTTGAGGCTTACAACCATACTGGTGGACATGCAAGTCTACCTGGTGGGTCTGGAAAACCCTGATACCAAACCAAAATTTGAAGGGACCCAGTGTCGTATGAAGCTGTTTTGGTCACTATCAACCATGTGGACGTAGCTCCACTGTCTTGTGGATCAGAGGCTCGGACGTTCTGTGTGGTCCTTTAAGACCATTACCTGCCTCGGTATGGGCACCCAGTCAGTATCCCAGGGCTTGTACGAACTACAGGATCTCGTATGGCATATCTGTCGGTGCTCATAATATGCAAAGTTTGTGTTTTCAATGATAATAATAATAATAATACTAAACTGATTTCATAGTAAGTCTCGTCTGAAGGAAGCATCTCAATGGCTTTCAGTTCATAAAGAAATCTACGTGGAGGAATAATTAGCCATGTGGTACAGTTATACCTCCCTATATGTCAAAGTTGTTTCTGTTCGCCTCAGACTGAGTATCTGAGTGCCAAATGGCTTGCCTACAATAAAGATCTGCTAGTCGTTTTTTGTCCTACTGAATCAAATTTGCTATTTGCAAACTACATTTCTAGGTGAAAATCTACCAAAGTCTCCTTTTACAAACCAAAAATGTCCACATCACTGTATATACTTGGCATAATATTATAAATAACAATTAAGAAAGACTCATATGAGTATCTGGAAATCACTCACGTCATCCGGTGTATATATTTTGCTAGTAAATTTGATTTTATGAGTGATAACCAGTTTTCTCCAAGTAGCTAGTCAGAATTCAGGTGGTAGTTTCAAATGATTAAGCTCTCTAGATTAAATCTAACAGGGCATATTGCTAGAAAGGTTAACATCTAAAGGAGGGGAACTATCGATATAGCTTCACAATCCCATCGATTGACTTCCCCTCCTTCCCTAACAATCTACGCTCAACCTCACTGTTGTTACTATATTACAGTATGCTTATTTCTGAGTGGTGGTAGTCGTCACCTTAAATACTTCATTATAGATTCGCTTATATGTATATAATAGTTTGTACATATCTTTTGTTGATTTCAACTTCTTGATTTGTGTTATTTTAGCCGAAGTCTGTAGATGTCAAAGTTGTCTCACATCCAATGCAACGTTATGCTGTGTGGTTCGGTGGATCGTTACTCGCGAATGAGGTAAGTACTTTACCTTTTTTCTTTCTTACCAGTATGTGTAAAAGAATGTGGTAAGGCAGTTAGAATATTAAACCTTAAGCTTTGTATTTACAGTCATCAATAAATGTTCAAGAGCCAGTTTGGAGCGATTTGATTTGATTCAAGTCTGATCATGGATTGATGTCAGTTAGAAAACCATTGAAAACCAAGTGGCTGGAGTGGTCAACGAGAGTATCCTCGTAACCCGAAGACCTCTGAGTACGATCCCCGGTGGAGTCACGGATCCATACTATTGAAGAGTCCCAAACCAAGATGAAATGGCTGTCCAAATCTTCCTAGTTTTCACAGTCGTTCTCTAACTGATATCAATCTGCGATCAAACTTGACACCAATAAATGGTTTAAAGAAACTTCTATGTCCTTTTTCCTTCTGAGCATTCTAAAGTCTATTCCTTTGATACTTCTATTTTGTCTCTGCGTACGTCTAAATAATATAGGTGACACAGTTATAGCTAGAGATGAAAAGGTCTTCCATTGTGGGTAAAATTTATTTTGATAAATCACAGTGTTATACAGTAATATTACGGAATATACACATTTGATCATAGGGAATAAAAAGACAGTTGCAGCGAAGAAAATTTTCTTTTCGACGAAGTCATCATCTAGGTTGTACATTCGTGTATTTATATCAAATGGATAGGAAAGTTCCAGAATAATTTCTGGTTAGGGGTTAAATTAGTAAGGATTACAATTAGGAATTAGAATGCCATAATAAACAGGGGGATGGGTAAAACTCAAACAAAGTAGCATAATAACTAAGAAAATTGACATTGTGCAATTGGGGGTTAGAAATGTAAAAATAACAAAATATACAGGATGTTTGGATGAAAAACTAGTGTGATGAACAGTAATATTAACTGATGACGTTTCGAGCACAGTTTATTGCACATATTCTGACTTCGTTTATATAATTCCCTTATTTTTCATCGCTTGACTTGATTGGTAATAGTATTTTCTATATTTCTGGTATTAGTGATGAGTCATTCCTATTTCACGTGTTGAGTGTAGATTTTATAAACAAAGATTGAGTAGTCAGCCTCTCTTTCCACCTACCTATATTACTTCGTAGAATTCTAACCCTCCCCCACCCTATTGTGTGGTTGTGCGTTAATGCATATGTCGGTGGAGAGACGTTGACGACTGAATCTTTGATCATGGAATCTACACCCAACACGTGAAACAGGAATGACTCATCACTAATACCGGAAATACAGAAAATACTATTACCAATCAAGTCAGGCGATGAAAACTAATGGGATTATATAAACGAAGTTAGAATGTTGTGTGAGTAACTTAACACGATTATGAGCATTAAATTGTGGTCGAAACTTCATCAGTAAATATTACTGTATAACACTGAGAATTTATCAAAATAAATTTTACACACAATAGAATTATATTCTACGACAGTGCACAAGTTCTTTTCTCATATCAATGAAAAGGTCTTATTATTATGATTGATGAAGCCAATTGATTACATGTCGTGTTTGCAGTTGGATACTGGAAGTGAGTCTTCTGGATATCCTGTAATCTTACCTTCATACTTGTTCGTACTCGCCAGTCACCAGCTCCTACCCATCCTCTCAGAGGAAATCATATTCCTTTCTTAACTTGAACTCACACACACATACATCACCCAATGTCGAATTCAGTGCCTATACTTCTCATATATTCAAGTAACAGATAATCCTCTGCTGAACTGATTAGTTTTCATTATCCGGTCAATAAACAATGATCAATCAGTCTTAAGTGTCGATCTTGTCCTTTGAATTAAGCGTACAGACTGTAGTCTCCACGTTAGATCCCCTTATTTTTTTAGCACGCTTAAATGCTTGTGACTCTCAAGACGGACCTTGCATTGAGATGATACGTCACGCTTCTCTCCTATTCAATCTCTCTATTTAACTAAAAGGTGCATCAGTGGTATAGTGCTCTCCGACCAATTAGGTGGTCCGAGGTTCGATCCCTGGCCGACGCACTCCTTTACCTCGCTAAGCCAGTAATAAGACTGGTAAAGAGGGAAGGTTGGGCATAAGGATAGCAACCCCATCCTGTAAAAATAATCACCACTGCTACAGAAACTTCAAGCCCTATATTCCACAGGGAACCTAACGGAATAAAGGAAATTTAACTAAAAGACTTAAGTCCTTCACACAATATTTTATGATATTTAAGTAGATTAGAGTTGAATCATATGAACGTACAAACACGAGTTACTCCACCGTCTGTCCTTCTCTTTTGATTTCATACAGAGTGAATTTTACAACGTCTGTCATACAAAAGCTCAATATGAAGAGTTCGGTCCAGCGATATGTCGTCATAATCCAGTGTTTGGTACAATGACATAAATGTGATATATATATATATATATATACATATATATATATATATATATATATATATATATACATGAATCCTTATTAATACTATTTTTCTGATTTTATTTTAAAGCTTTTTATAATAATATATCGTGGACATTCTCAGCTACTTATTTTAAACAACAAGGTAGTCTTATTTTTAAAATCAGTTTTATACTAAACACACTTTGCCAGTACTTTGTGCACATTGATTACAACACATAGCAGTTTGTAAATGATTGTTAGAAATCAGTTTAAATAATGCTGTGCTAATATAAACCTTTTTTTAATTTTATTCAGTACTTTTTCTGTTCATTAAATATTGCATATTCTTAAATATATTAAAACTTCCAAATTATTTCGAAATTCCGAGTTTTTGCAAGGAGGATTTTGGTTAATTTCACTTAGATTTAGTCACTAATCAACATTGAATAGGCAATCATTAAAAGCCAGCAGGGAGCGACAATGTGCATCTACGATCCCACCACGCACAGATAGTTCCCGGGATCTCCAGGTTACGGAGCTGTTGCTTCGTGATGAAATCTACTTTGAAATTAGTCCGAAACTTGTAGTCTAATTAACAATCTCTAGCTCGTTAGTGGGTGTTCTGCAGTAAGAAGTCGTGGTCAGTGGAGCCCACCATGTCAAAGTGAACTGAATGCTTATCGACGGTATTCGTTGGTGATAGCCATACATCACGAATAGACAGGATTTAGAATTCACCGGATGGTAAAGTCCGGTCCAAATCACTGAATGATCGACGAGCTGTCTTCGTAACATGATGGTCCCGTTTTTGATCCCTAATGGGATCGTAGGTGCACACTGCTGTCTCAAAACAGGACGAAGTAACTATCCAATGCTCCCTGATTCTCTTAGTGATTTTGGTACGTGACGAGACCTAAATGCTGAAATTAAAATCTTAACTTATAATCATTATTTTTGGTTTTAAAATCAAAACGCCTTGACAAGCTAAGTTAACATTGATATGAAGTTGAATATTAGATTGGGCAGAATATATGAACAGGATGTTTTTATAAATAAGCGTAAACGGAATTAAGATTGATTCCTCTGTTTTGTGTCATTTTCAAAAATATCCGAAGAAAGTTATTAAATGCTAGTTGACTTGTACATAATTTCTCCAGTCAATTTTATAGAGTGAAGGGTCATGCAAATACACCAAACGATAATGAAACCTTCCTAAATCCTTTCTTAAAGTGACTACTCTATCTTTCATATAAACAGCCTTATTATCTGAGGATTTTTGGTTAGCAGAATAGTCTCATAATAACAGATTTCACCTTTTCGTCAACACTTCCTTGAACGCAATAAATAACGATTCTCCGTGATCGCGAGTGCCCCAATTATTAACGTGCAGTGTCAGACTTTTTACACGGAGTTTTACAGTCAATTTTTTGCCTTGTCAGTAAATATGATGGCAAAATAACACATCGCAGGTTAACCATGGTTGTTGTAATAGTAGTATTTCGCAGTGACTGAATTAAAGGGTATCAACCAACAACACAGGGAGGGATGAATATAGGAATTTGTATTTTGCGGAATAATTTGTAATTATTATGGTAAATGTTAACAAACAACAGTGGGTATTTAAACAATACAGTAATAGAAATTGTCAATCACCTCATTATAGTGAATTAAAGCTATTCAGATTCCTGCACACAGAGGAATAGCTTAATGTTTGATAGTATTAATCTTCAAAACGAGAATATTTTTTATCAAATAATCTCTTGAATTTGCTCACTTTTTGACAATGAATTGTGAGTAGTGCCACAATCAACTTATATCCAACTATATTTGTGTCGTGGTAATCTGAGCAGTAAGTAAGATTGGTCAGAAAATCACTGAGACGAATAAATTAGGAACAGAATCTTGAAAATACATTCATCCACTTAAAAAGAACATTACACAAGGAGAATGTCAGATTGTGTAGTATATACACGGAAATTATAAACGGTAGAATATATCAACACTTCGCATATTATTCGGCATCTTTATGGTTCATCTCACTGTGACATAGTGGAATAAAATATGTTGAAAGTGTGGAATAACTGAAACACATTCTGCACAGCTGGGGAAATCCAAAGAAATGGGATCGATACATATTATTCTGATCTGATGTCTATCACTGCCCTCTTGGCTTCTATATGGAACGTACACCCACTCATTGTGCTCTTCCCAACCGGCTCCATAATTGCTCATCATCTCTCATTTCCTACTTGCACCATCTCCTGGACATCATCCTCAGGCTGAAGCCGAAGTCGTCGCTTCCTATTTGCGCTCCCACCGTGACCTGTTTGACACATGTGGTCACCTCAGCGTGTATTCAACCCTTAGAAAACAGAAAGATTGAGCGAAGAAATATTTACTTTTCAATTAGATCCTCATCTCTGGCTCTACTCTAATATACACGTGTAGCATTTTTATTACAATACACAACAGTTTACCAAACAAGTGGCGATATGTTTGTTAACAATAATTAAACAGTGTCAAAATGTCAATGGGTTGATAATTAACGAAGAAAATCAATACACATTTAAAAGGTAGAAATGGTTAGAATAAATTAATTTTACAAGGATAACACGTAATTAAAGATGAAGTGGTCAAAATAAAATAAAAGAAAATAATTTGGACAATTATAATTTAATAGGGGGAGGGGGGCGACGTAGTCCTGTTTATGCATTCTTGTAACGATGGCCACGGTAAGGAAAGTGGCTGTACAAATTTCTTCTGAACACACAGGTTTGGCTTCTTCAGGTGGATTCCTATTGCTTCAGCTGTATGTAGAAGACGAACTCGTAGAGCAAAATTAAGATTAGTAGGAATGCGATAAATAATTTTAAATGCAGTATTAACGTCAACCTTATGCTCAGTATCAACAAGGTGTGCTAAAATAGAACTACGAATAGATCTTGTTTGTCCCTTGCTTAACCATGTTGGATGATGTTCGGAAATATGATGATGAACCTGCCTAATTGTACGCCCAATGTAGCTGGCTCCGCAGCTGCAGTCAAACTGGTAGACACACATAGAAGAGGCAAAATTAGGTAGTTTATCCTTATTTCTCGAACATAGAATAGGGGTGGTTGTGAAGAGACAACGTACTTCTGCTGCATAATAAGCTCTTTTAACTGCATTCTTCAGGCGCTGTGTTATTATTTCGCTGATGTTGTCACCGAGGAACTGCAATTTTATGAACATTGGTTTTTTCGGAACTGTAGCCATACTGACTCTCCTTGGTGCTGAATTCATATTTTTCTCAATGAATTTATCTGGATAACCATTTTTTCTAAGTAATTCTCTAATAATCTTAAGCTCCTCATTGAGGCAGTCGTCTGAACAGATTAACCTAGCTCTATGAACCAGACACTTTACCAGGTTACGTTTATATTTCAAAGGTACAAAACTCAAAAAATGAGTGTACTGACCTGTTGTTGTAGGTTTCCTATACACACTCCTTCTTAGTGTGCCATTTTCTTTCCTTGCCATGAAGACGTCTAGGAATGAGATGCTGTCATTACTTTCTTTCTCTATGGTAAAGTTTATTGCTGAATGTGCATCATTAAACTTGTCAAGGATGTTCATTGCATCATTCTCGTCTTTCATAACCACAAATGTATCATCCATATATCGACAGTAGAAATCCATGTCATTAATTACTCCTTTCAGTGGTCCATTCTCTAATTTAGCGAGGAAAAAATCAGCTAGGATTGGACCTAATGGGGAACCCATAGCTACACCATCAATTTGTCTGTAATATTCCTTATTGAATAAGAAATGAACATTCATTGTACATCTTAAAATAAGTTCCTTCAAGGTGGATATAGAAATCCCGATGTCTATGTTTCGTGTAGTAATCTCCTCACATATAAAATCCACTGTCTCCATTAACGGTACATTGGTGAACAAGGAGGATACATCAAAAGATATCATAAACTTGTCCCTCACATTAAGATCTCTTATTTTTTCAACAAATTCAAAACTGCCGTTTACGCTATGTTTTACCAATTCATTATGCAGAGGCTTTAGGAGCTTCACTAGCCATTTTGCTGTTGCGTGATATGGGGAATTACACATGTCCAACACTGGTCGAAGCGGCAAACCGATTTTATGCACTTTTGGTAGTCCATATAATCTTGGTGTAACCGTGCCAGTAGGCTTTAAAGATTCACATAAACCGTCTATGATGCTACTTTGTAGTATCTCAGTTAGTTTTTCCCCACGTTTCCTGTCGAACTAACGGAGGATGAGGTATTTTGAAATTTTCGATGATCACTGAGTATTCCATTCATCTTATCTATGTATTCAGTTTTATTCATTATTACTACTCCAGAGCCTTTATCAGGTTTCGAAATTATTATATGCTCATTATTTCGCAGCTTATCTAGGGCTTCCCTGTGTTTCTTGGTCAATAAGCTATTTAGTTTCCGTTTGCTATTCATATATTTATAACAACAGTCGACTAGAGTTGATTTAAGACTTTCAACTACCTCAGCTGACGAGGGTGTCAAGCCTTCAGTTTGTGCAAAGAACTTTTCGAACTGAACTTGCATATCCATCTTGTTAATTCTAACATGATTATCACAAAACTTAGTGCCTAGTGATAATACTTGCAAATCTATGTCATCAAGGACAACATTATACATTAGAGCAGAGCCAGAGATGAGGATCTAATTGAAAAGTAAATATTTCTTCGCTCAATCTTTCTGTTTTCTAAATGTCTAAATGGGGATTTTTTATACTCAACCTTTTTTCATTTCTGCCTGCACATTTGTTTGGTGATTGATTCTTGGATGTTTCGTGGCGGGTTCCTTGTTGGCCATTCTTTCAGGCTGGCCAACCGATCTTCAATATTAAGCGGAGGCAGATGCTGATTAGAGTCTGCAGCAGCCCATCGGCAAATGCTATCCGTGACCCTTCGAGTATTTATACTATTGTGGAACACTGGTTTGACATTGTTGAAAATCAGAATTTCATTCCTCGTGCTTAGTGAGACAGATTTGCACGCTCTTCGCAGATTGCTGAATGTCTGTTTAATGCTTTTACCATCTTAATTTTGACATCCTAACTTGTGCAGTCTGTAGTGAAGATGATGTCGCATATATTAGTTAAATTTTCCCATTGGTGGTGAATGATGCCTGTTGTTGTTATCTGGGAGTTATCAGCACCTTTGCCTTCTCTAGATTTGCTCAGATTGCTGTCTTTGCTTCTTCTTCTTCCGCCAACTTGTTGGTTTTTCCCCGTACATCTCCACGCTTGTGTGACGTTATAGATATATCATCCCCGTAGTACACACCTTCCAGTGTCTTCTCGTCAGCTAAACGTACATCAACCTTCTTGCTGCCCATGGC